TCTTGTTGTAGAAAATTATTTAATACAATATACACCATCACATCTATAACAAAATTTTATTGACCTAAGGATTTAGAAAATTTTCAGCACTAATATATCTTTATTTAATTATCATAAAAAAATAATTTTAGAAGTTATCAATAACAATTTAGCCTTGATCTATTTATTATGATAAAAATCATCTCTGGTAGTAGTAATAAAATTTTTATTAGTGTTAGTGAATGTAAATTAGAATATTGAATATTCTATTTTCATTTTTTTCAGATGATAAATATTAAATGTACAATACCTAGTATCTACCTAATAGTTCTTTCAGTATATCTTTGATTACTGATTAACAGAGTTGTCTTCAAATGCCAAATTAAAAATTAAGGAATTGACAAAGCACAGTTCTGTCAGAATAATAATTGTTTAACAAAAAGAAAAAGTATAAAAAAAGACCATGGCTTCTTAGGAGAAAATAAAATTAGACATAATCAGTATGATGTATATGTTAAATGCATTTAATAAAAATTAACTTTTAGACATTCATCACTTTATAACATAAAATATTTAATCCATACTTTTAGATTTTTTGATAATGATCATAATTTTTCCATTTATTAAGCATAATTCTCATTTCACAAACTATAATTTTGCCAGTTAGCAATTATTTTTGAATTAAAATTTTTTTTATAATGTGAAGACCTCTGAAATGAATTTAATAAACCATATGTAACCTATACAAAAAAAAAATCTTGTAAGACAAGCTTACATTAAAAAATAATAAACTAAGCTTCAAAAAACTTAAAACTTACTTCCTTTGTATGAGAAGAAATTAATTTTGTATCCATATAATTGTAAAATGCAGTATTTTACACAAAAATAATTTTTATGTAGATTTATTCTGCAATATGAAATCATTATTTTGAGATTCTATCAAAAAGATTTTCCAATTATTTAAATATAATGTTTACAAGTGGTTTCAATTGATTAAATAAGCTTATTAGCCATATAAATCAAAAACCAGAAAGTTGAATAGATTTAATTTATGTTTGTATGTAATATATTAAGGCTAAAATTTAAAATAATGATAATCCATCCTCCACAATAAGGTCACCAGCTCTTTCAGACTCAATAGGAAGCTCCCAGAATTTGGTAAAAATTTTTAAATTCTCACACTCCTGAATTGAGGCTTACTCTTCCCATATTTATTCAACAAGACAATCAACTTTTGGATTGCAGGTTATAATAGAAAATAGTATTTTGACATTACTGAAAGTCAAAAAAAAAAAAAAATGTCAAATCTCTCAAAATTCTTAACTCCTGGAATTGACTCTTGTGGAGTAAGCTTGCCAACTCTCATATCACTAAAAACTCTGCTCTCAAGAGAAACATTTTATTTTGTTAAGTTACGTCAACCCAACACTTGGGAGAGCTGCCTAGGAGGGATGCACTCCGGGAGGTCTTTTTAAGGATAACTGGCCCCCATTTGGGCATTACAGACGTGGAGAAAACCTGGAAAACTCCACACAGCCAGCCCATTTTGCCCAGGCACAAATCCACAACCGAACTTCCAGCATTCAGGGAACAGAACTGCCTGGCCGCCGGTGGGCCCCAAGAGAAGCTATCTTCAAATCGTGTCAACATCACTAAGAAACCTTTTTCTACATTCTTTTTATATTTTAGACATAATTTAAAGCTTAATTTAAATTAAACATATAAACAATATTAAGATCTTTATCAATATAAGTGCGACCTGTCAAGTTTAAATCTTTTTTTTTTTTTAATTTTATGTTTACATTTAACACATCTTTATGTTAAATAAGAAAAAAATTGTTTAAATGCATTTATGAATTTACATACATTTCAATTAAAAGCAATATTTAATTCAATTAATAAAAATAATTAATTTTTTATTGAATTATTTCAAATATTTTGAATTTATTTATAAATAAATAATTTATTTATTTAATTTTAAAATGATTAAAATTTTTAATAATATTTTAAATAAGAGGAAAACTTTCCGAGCACAAAAGATGGACTTCAATTTGATTGAATACAAACAATGGATGAAGTGTCTTTTATTCAAAATTTACAAAACCATGCTTTAAAATACGTCATCGACACGCGAAAAATGTGTCAATTACAGCTAATTAATATGAATAACAATAATTTATTAAGAATAGAATAAATTATTAATAATTTTTCTAATTATAAATTTAATTTAGGTACTTATTTAAAAACCTTAATAAAATAACAAAAAAATTTAAAGATGAATAAATAAACTAACCAGGGAAAAAAAACAATAGATACGTGTAACATAGAATATTAAATGTATTATTTGCAAGACTGATCAACACACAACTCACCTTCCGCCATTTTGTATGATACAGAAACGATATCAGGTGGCGCTTTTTCGTAAATTTATTTGTCGTTCCTAACTTGTCTATAGTATAAACTACACGTTTGTAATTTTTTTTTTTGGAATTTTTTGTGATTTTTTTAAAAAAAGTAATCACTTTTCTAAATAGTTATTAAGAAATAAATTTATAAACCTACGTTTAGCGGATTCAATTGAGTTTGATTGTTATCGATTTTATATCTAAACGAAGTATTTAATTTATGCATGGTTATTTTATTAATATTTCTTTATTATCCTGTATAAATAATCATTAATAATATCTTAGGATTAATTTGCATTAATAAAATATTTTAAATTAGGGCGCTGTATGCTTTTTCGGAAATCGCAATCATTTTTTCCCCCTTCTTTTTTTTTGGGGTAATTTTAAATAAAATTGATTAATAAATTATTTAATTAATAGGAAAAAAAAGTCTTATAATTTGAAAAATAACATATGCAAAAATATAAATTTTGTTTTATCATATTCCATAAATCAATATTGCTTTGTCGCATGCAAAATTACTCGATAAATCTCTTAAATCGACCCAAATTTAAGTTTAAACGAGGATTAATAAATCAATATTTATATCTAAATAATCAATAAATCGAAGATAATAATTTTCTTTAAAGAAAATAATTTAAATAGCTCTTTATGTGTAATTTATTTTAACATTTTTACAAATTCACACGGAATAACCTCCAAACGACGGACATTTTTTAATGGTTTCCGCCAGTGCGATTCCGGTTTACACGGGTTTTACAGTATGTAAAATAATAATATAAATAAATTAATTCTGTGGCTGCATCATTGCTACTTTCGATAAAAAAGGATTGTTATTACCTTTTTATTGTATAGCAAATATTTGTTAATAAATCATCTATAGAAAATATTATGTAACTTTAATTAGCGTCTCTTAATCTCAAACAAAATCAAAACAAAATTTTACAAAATCAAAACCAATTTAAACAGTAAACAGGACTAAAATCAATAACTACATGCATTTCTAATTATAACGTAGCAGTTAGCACGGTATTTATTATGACATATACAGTGAAACCTGTGCAAAACGGAACCCGAATAAAAAGAAAACCTGCAAAACAGGAAAAAATATTCGGTATCGTGCGATTCCGGCTTACATAGGTTTTACAGTATATATATTTATATATATATACTTGCATCATTAATTTTCATATTATGCATGAATGTATATTATTATCATCATATTTTAATTAATGCGACATAATAATGTGATAGACTAGAAATTTGATAATTATTCAACATGTAATAATATAAAATATACATAAATTAAATATGATGATAATATAAATTCGTGGGTAATACGAAAATTAATGAATATATTGCGCCTATAAATATACTGATATAAGTTTATTTGTAAATATAATAATATAATGCTCGACAATTGATCATATTTTAACAAAATTGATATCAATTGTGTAGTTTTTAAAATATAAATTTAATTTGTGTAGATATAAAGGTAAAAACTTTTTAAATTACTAATAAAACTGAAGAGTATAGAATGAATTATTTATATAATCAATTGAAGAATCGATAGTTTATAGTAATTACTACTTATGACCTTCGAATTTTGTCTAAACTGTACCGATATAAATATATTTTGATCAATAATATGCTCTCCACCTCAAATTAATAGTGTACCCCTGTACATCATACTTGTACGTTAGCAATAAAATCGTGCCTATAATTTATCTGTCATTTTGGGGGAAAAATTTTTAAATGAATTTACATGACTTTTGGTTTACATCGGAAGTTCGAACAGAGTTAATTGGGGGTCTCCTGTTCCTAATCTTTCCCTATCTGGTCTCGATTTTCATCTATATAACTCCGTTCTCGAGATTATGAAAAGAATGACAGATAGATGGATGACAGTGGGAATTTATAGGTCTACAATTTTTTTCAAATTGCAGCCCAATAAATGTTGAATGTCATCTCTGTGTAGTTTTAACTCTTTCCGCCCTGTGGGCACTAAGGGGGCCTCTTTTTGCAAGCCCATTATGGGTTCGACCAGGCCCACAATGGGGCTGCCAGGTAGTGAGGGACGGGGCCCGACATATCCGAACGGACCACCCCCCGAAAAATTCCTGGGGATTTTTTCGACCCGTTTGGATTCGAGCCCGGATCCTCCAGAGCGGTAGGCTGCCACCTTGACCGCTCGGCTATCCGGCCCATCTCTGTGTAGTAATTCACAATATATCACATAATTATTAAACTCCTCTCTGTGGGCACTGAGGGCCTTTTTTTTAGCCAGCCCGTTATGGTTCAGTTATGTCCACAACGAGGCGGCCGAGTGGCCAGGGCGGGTTCGAAGTATTCGGACGGACCATTCCCGAAAAATTCCCAAGGTTTTTTTGACCTTCCGGATTCTATCCCGGGTTTCCCAGAACGGTTAGCTGCCACCCTAACCGCGTTAGATTATATATTTTCTATTGCAAATCTATTACAGTAATTATACATTGTAAAATTTCATTTCTTAAAAAAAAACAAAAAATAAAAAATAAAAACATAAATTTGTAAAATCTACCGAAAATCAGAATAGATCTACGGAAATTTCCCAAATTCGACATTGACAGGTGGCAACACTGACGAGATGATTAGTTCAGACATGGCCACCTAGATGCTATCGTTTGGAGGATCGTACCGTAAACAAAGAATTGTAAAAACAGGCACGTGACAATTCTCTAGTCGTAAGTAAGACATTAGTTACAACGAGACCGATTTCGATTATAATGCAAGAAAATAAATAAACGCAAGCGATGTAACAGGTGTTTTTTTTTTTTATATGTTGTACGGATTCCGAGAGGAACGGCGTATCGCATAAATAAAAAAACGTTCATAGCATTGTCGGGTTGAATCAACATTACTACCTTTTAATACTGAGCAACTTTATTGAATGTAGTTTGATACCGCCAGTACTAATAAGTTCGTGCGTATGTCTGTATAAACCCAGCAATTATTTAATAACGACAAATGTTTTCGACATGATTACGTGCGAAATGCAAGCCCGACTGAGAAATAGCCATTGGACTTAGAGGATCTAAATTCCAGTACTAAATTTCCTATGCATAATTGTGTCCAGTTACCGAATATCATCCGAACCATGGTCAAAATTAGAACAGGAAGGAAGAAAGTCAACATCAGTAAAGAACATAATTACAAGGTGAAGGATGTTGGCTTTCTTTTTTATCTTGTGAGCCGTTCTAATCTTGACTGCGGTCTAGGTGATGTTTAGTGACCGAATGTCCGAGCGGTTGGGGTGGGAACCCAGGATCAAATGTGTCAAAAAACTCCAGAAAAGTGGTCATCTGGATGCACTGGGTCCCGTTCCTCATTGCATGGCTGAACCCATAATGGGCTTGCTTAAAAAAAGCCACCTTAGTGCTCATAGGGTGGAAAGAATTAAAACAAAAACCAAACAAAGCAATGCTGTGGAATTTGTGTTATTGTCGTTTCTCGGTTGGACCTGACGACGTGTGATTGTGTCAAAAACATTTGTTGCTAAATTGTTGGATTCATAAAGGTGTATGTGTAAATAATCATACATCCAATATGTAAGGTCTCTTAAAACAACTGATAAAAATCTCTTGATCAAATACTTTTAATATATGGTATGTAACAAGCTCTTAATGTTGTTCTTGTTTTTTCTTGGGTTATTCGGATGGTAAAGGATGGTATTTGTTTGTATTTTATACTATGTGTAAGCTTATTTAATGATTTGTAAATTTGTATGCTAATGCTTCTGAATGTGAATCATTTTATAACTAAACATTTATATTTTAATGGTATTCATTAAAATATGAAATTTTATTTATGTAAGTATTATGAACAAATTAATTAAATGAGAATGTTAGATATTTTCAGTTAAATTTAAAGTAATAAAGTACAAATAAAATGTTTATGATTAAGGAAAAGTAAATATCTATTCCTTAATGTATAATTGTTATAACTATATAAAACACAGACATTTTTAAAAAAAATTGTTGTTATATTTATAGATAACTAAAAACTCTGCAGATTATTTTTGTTGGGGTATAATTATAAAATTATTATTATTAATTAATTGTGATTGTGGCTTATAGCATGCAAAAAGACTATTCAAAATGCATATTTACCTGAAGATGATGATAACATTAATCAGAACTCTATAATAAATAAAGCTTTATAGGTGTTATTTTTAACATATTTTGGGATGTTCTAATTCTGAAAACATTTAATGACTGATAACAATATTGATATTTTAATAAAAGGATTCTTCTATAGAGTATAGCCTGTATATGTATAGGAAGTAGTTGATAGATCACAATCAGGATATAAATAAGTATGCATGCAAGATGCACAGCTATCCTTTTTGCTGAAATGTTTTTCAATTTTGGATGATTTTGATGTATTTCTGAATATATTTTATAATAATAATAATAATAATAATAGAATAATTACAATTGATAAGAATGTCTATTTATACATTCTTATCAATTGAAAAGTAGAAATAAAAACTATTAAACTCTTATAACTATAGCTCTATATCTCAGTTAACTCTTATAGCTTACACGATACGAAGTTTAAAAAATCCAGCTACAAGTTGCATAACTTTCCCAGCTATTATGAGATATTATTTAGAAAATAACTTTTATAATTTTAATTACAATATAACAATAAAATTGTGTGTGGTGCCATCTGTTATGAGATTTTGTTATAAAAAAAACTTTTTATATTTTTAATGAAAATTACAAAAAGCTTAATTTTGAGGGTAGGGATGAGTTTAATAAAAAAAAAGTATAAATGTTAATAATGAGTAAAATTGTCGTTAAGTTCGACCCGAATGGAGAGACACACGACAGCCTTTATCTAACAACCCTCTCGATGTTTAATGACCAAAATTTAATAGCATCAATGTCCTTCATATACAAGCCACTGTGCCAAATTTTGTTACTTAATCTGTATTTCATCCTGAGATATTAAGCAAAATAGATGCCAATATACATACATACATATCCATAGGTTTTTTTTTTATTCAGAAAGAAGAATTGTAAAAAATGCTAAGGATCAAATTTGACACAATTCCGATTTGTTTCCATGTTATGTGTACATAACAGCAAGGAAAGTAAAATTAAAATAAAATATCTAGTATATTTTCATAATTTCAATAAACTTTTTGTTAAATATTGTTAACATTAAAACACTTAGAAATTTTAAAAGTTCAATTAATTATTATTATATTTTCTTTAAATCTTAATTACATATTTTAATCTTAATTATATATTATATAATTTAATTTTTATAGGTGTTATTTTTACTTATGGCTTCATTACAAGGACTTCCACCTTTACCTAAAAGTTTAAGCGGTTTATTGAATTTTAGTAGTGCACAGTGGAAAGAATTAGAAAGACTATATACTATGCGTACAATGATTCAGCAAGATCTAACGCGCAACATGGTGGAAAGATCGACGTTGCAACACGGTTCTTCTGAAGACGACGACAGGAGTGACGTGTACGGAAGTGGAAGAGGAAGTCCTTCAATCGACGGACGAGGAGTGAGCAGAGCTAGCAGACTAGATGCTCAGTTGGCTTTATTGAGAAAAGAAATGGTAATATTTGTATAAAATTTCAATATATTATCATCATCATCACAAATATTTCTAATTCACTGTTAAATGGTAAATATTGCAGGTTGGTTTGAGACAATTAGACATGTCACTTTTATGTCAGTTATGGTCTTTGAATGAATCAATTCAAGAATATAAACAACTTCTTCAGGAACGAATGTCATTCTCTCCTACTCATGCTTCATCACCGGGATGGGATAACGGTTTGGAATCTCCAAGCAGTGAAGAGCCATTAGAAGTAAACGGCAAACAGTTTAAATTGGATTATCCTATTGCTAAACATCGAAGTATGCACGGACATCAGGATTTAGATGTGGTTCCGGAACGGTTATCCTCAACCGATAGTTCGTCTCATTCTAGTCTAGAGTTTGGTAATATATGAATTTTAAATTATTAGAAGTAAATTTTGGTAAAACTGTCAAATGCTATATTTATGACAATTTTCAAAATATAGCATTATGCAGTTTATACGAATTTTGACAAATATCAAGAAGTGCATCTATTTTTCTTTTATAACGTTAATGTTATATATTTATAGAAAAGATTGGATACTTTTTCTGTTATATATTATTTATTTATAACAGTGATTTGATATAATTGAATGTTTGTGCTTTATCGATAAGAAAGTTTTTGAAAAAAAATTTATTGTAAGTGCTATAATACGAAGTTTTACAATATTTATGGCAAACGAGTGTTAGATAGTATGATATTTATNGGAAACAATTCAAACTTTGAAATTTTTAATATTCTTCTAGATCATTTAAATGCATAACTGATATCTCCCTGATTATGCTTGTTTCAACAATAATATAGACAATTTCATAACAGTGATTTGATATAATTGAATGTTTGTGCTTTATCGATAAGAAAGTTTTTGAAAAAAAATTTATTGTAAGTGCTATAATACGAAGTTTTACAATATTTATGGCAAACGAGTGTTAGATAGTATGATATTTATTACTATATTTTATTGGAATTGTACTTATAGTTATGAGGGTTTTAACTCTTACATTCAGGATAGAGTTTTTCTAAATATCACTACTTAACCTTCATCTTAAATGTTAGTTTTCTATCAAATATCAAATTTGATAGCATGCACGTAATTTATTCAAATTTACAATTTTTATAAAATGAAATACATCTTAATAATTACAAGAAAGCATTTAATGGAATCAAATACATATCTTTGTAGTCTTGACAATACAAATAGATATGTTTCTTAAAATTAAAATAGAAATGAGATGTGCATTTAGTTAAGTAATTCCAGTTAAGATTCATATTTGATGTGCACGTTTCCATATTTGTCATTTGAATATGTGAAAATATAAATTACAATTTGCATTTTACTAAGACCGGTCGGTAAATCTAGATCACAATTTACACGTCAAAAAGTCATTCTTCATTTGTATTCATACAAAACATATCAGAAATAGTAAAACTTCTATTTATGATGAGATTGTGGCTTATAGCATGCAAAAAGACTATTCAAAATGCATATTTACCTGAAGATGATGATAACATTAATCAGAACTCTATAATAAATAAAGCTTTATAGGTGTTATTTTTAACATATTTTGGGATGTTCTAATTCTGAAAACATTTAATGACTGATAACAATATTGATATTTTAATAAAAGGATTCTTCTATAGAGTATAGCCTGTATATGTATAGGAAGTAGTTGATAGATCACAATCAGGATTCGACAATTGATCATATTTTAACAAAATTGATATCAATTGTGTAGTTTTTAAAATATAAATTTAATTTGTGTAGATATAAAGGTAAAAACTTTTTAAATTACTAATAAAACTGAAGATTATAGAATGAATTATTTATATAATCAATTGAAGAATCGATAGTTTATAGTAATTACTACTTATGACCTTCGAATTTTGTCTAAACTGTACCGATATAAATATATTTTGATCAATAATATGCTCTCCACCTCAAATTAATAGTGTACCCCTGTACATCATACTTGTACGTTAGCAATAAAATCGTGCCTATAATTTATCTGTCATTTTGGGGGAAAAATTTTTAAATGAATTTACATGACTTTTGGTTTACATCGGAAGTTCGAACAGAGTTAATTGGGGGTCTCCTGTTCCTAATCTTTCCCTATCTGGTCTCGATTTTCATCTATATAACTCCGTTCTCGAGATTATGAAAAGAATGACAGATAGATGGATGACAGTGGGAATTTATAGGTCTACAATTTTTTTCAAATTGCAGCCCAATAAATGTTGAATGTCATCTCTGTGTAGTTTTAACTCTTTCCGCCCTGTGGGCACTAAGGGGGCCTCTTTTTGCAAGCCCATTATGGGTTCGACCAGGCCCACAATGGGGCTGCCAGGTAGTGAGGGACGGGGCCCGACATATCCGAACGGACCACCCCCCGAAAAATTCCTGGGGATTTTTTCGACCCGTTTGGATTCGAGCCCGGATCCTCCAGAGCGGTAGGCTGCCACCTTGACCGCTCGGCTATCCGGCCCATCTCTGTGTAGTAATTCACAATATATCACATAATTATTAAACTCCTCTCTGTGGGCACTGAGGGCCTTTTTTTTAGCCAGCCCGTTATGGTTCAGTTATGTCCACAACGAGGCGGCCGAGTGGCCAGGGCGGGTTCGAAGTATTCGGACGGACCATTCCCGAAAAATTCCCAAGGTTTTTTTGACCTTCCGGATTCTATCCCGGGTTTCCCAGAACGGTTAGCTGCCACCCTAACCGCGTTAGATTATATATTTTCTATTGCAAATCTATTACAGTAATTATACATTGTAAAATTTCATTTCTTAAAAAAAAACAAAAAATAAAAAATAAAAACATAAATTTGTAAAATCTACCGAAAATCAGAATAGATCTACGGAAATTTCCCAAATTCGACATTGACNTCTCCCCACCTCCTCAACATTTAATCACCAAAATTTAATAGCATCAATACCCTACTAAACAAACCTCCCTGCAAAATTTCAGAAATTTTTGACAAAAAGCACAAGAGTTATTAAGCTTCAAAGAGGGTGAACAAAATCATGTCCCCCACACACTAACATCCATACATACAGAACACCACATTTTTTTTGCATTTCTTGACATCTTGAGCTATCAAGTGTCCTGAGTCGAAAAATGTAAAAATCTTGGGGTGTCATTATTTGACCGATCACCATACTTACCCTCTGTTATATATAACAGTAGGGAAAGTAATAATGGATTTAAAAAAATAAAAAGTATGTACAGAAGCCACCATTGTATTAACCACTGTCAAAAATTAAGATTTTCATTATTGCTTACTGGTAATTGTCTTAAAAACAAATTCTAGAAATAATTATACCTGCAGATAAAATTTTTCAGCTGCGAAAATTTGGTTTTGGCAATTTGCTGAAAATTATAAAATCTGTCGAGGAAATGTTGAAGTAGATGCAATTAAATTTCTAAGAAACTTAAATATTGTACACACAGACCAGACTTTGAGGATTATCTGTGAAGATTTACCGATAATCAGTAACTTTTTAATTACTGTTTCAAATACAAATGATGACACGGATATAGAAAAAATTTAAATTTCTGGAAAGACTTTGTGTTCTCAAAAGAAATTTCTATTGTTAAAAAGCTATTGAGAAGCAGAAAGAAAGAAAAGAAAATTTAATAATTCAGAAAAAAAACATTGCTTTGAAGATACACTGATTTACTAGCAATATGTTGAAGCAATGAATATCAATTAACAAGAATAAATTGCTTACAAAAATGGTGAGTGCACTAATAGAGGATGACAAATTTAATTTTATTATAGTTAAAATAAATTTACAAAGATGATATCAATAATAATAATGCTACAAAAGTTTAATGATAAAAAGACCAGATGACTGCAATGATTTTTTGGGGTTTTTAATGCTTTTTGTTTGAGTAAGCATAAAATTGCTTGAGAGAATGAATCATACAGGAACACACACTTAAGATGGATGTACAGTAGATCCCCCTATAAAACCGTTTCCTATAGTTATGATTCCTATAAAAATTGTGGCAGTATCCGTAAACAACGGTAAAAATAACTCCTATAATACGTAAAACGTCATCGGGCAGCCGAACTACTTTCCCGCCGTCCGTAGCGCCACGCTACGGAGAGATTTCTATCGTCTGGACAGTATTATATAAATTATATATAAATTAGGTACTGTACATATAATTATATATTAATTATATATAAATTAGGTACTGTATATATAATTATATATTAACTTAATTTATTGTAACTTTATTATAATTAAATATATATTTTTCGCCGTCTAGCGTCACGCTACGGCGAGTTAGGCGACCTATCGTCTGTTCAGTACTGTAATTTTATACATTTCTTGTGAAAGAAACATTTCTTATTCAACGGCCATAAAAATTATTTATATTAATGATGTCTCCAAAGGTCAACGAAGTTTTCGCAGAAAAATAATATCAGAAATCGCGGCCGCGGTTTGATGCGCTGTTCCGCGACGAAACCAAGCTTTAGCAACGGGCGTAGTCGAACGGTACACACTCGGTAAGCAATCCTACAATTTTTTGTTTATAACGTAGTTTATACGGATTATTTTTTAAAAAATATACGTATTTTGGAAATGTTGAGTCGAATTAGTCTAGAATCGATTAATTTTATGAAAGAAAATCTTTGAAACAGCTGTAGTCCGTAAACTATGATTCCTACAAAATTGATTCATAAAGAACGGAACGTATCTACCGTCTTATAGGGGGATCTACTGTACAAGATTTTATCGATTGCCAAGGATATGCATTTCGGACATGTAACTCATTGGTCCTCTTTTTAATTTTACATAAATCTGATTAAAACATTATAAAACTTAAATTATAGTCAAAAACTTCAAAAAGTCACAATGAACATGTAATTTCTGTCATTGAAGTAATTTTATGTATGTTACAGATAATAGTGACAACTGGATTCCAATGTATAATAAAATACCTAAAGTAAAATGTAAAATAAATAAAATTAATAATAAAATGAATGCTTGTATTTTATAAAAAGGGGGTTATGGTAAAATTCTATTAAAACAATAAAAATTAAAAGTTGGTATAAAGAAACTTGTATGTTCTAAATCACTGTACGACTAACATCTAAACCAGTGGTTCCCAATTAGTTTTTCCTGTGTACCACTTCAAGAAAGAGCTCAAACTGACGTACCCCTTATAGCAGAAATTCATATTAATCCATAGTATTATAAATTCAAAGGTAATTCTGCTGTCTGTCTGTTACCTTTTCACTTCTAAACCACTGGACAGGTTTTAATAAAATTTGGCACAGAGATAGCTTACATGTTGGAGATGGACATAGGCTACATTTTACTGCGAGAAAATATCCTACTCCCACGAGAAAATTCGATATAATGCAGGCAAAGCTGTGGGTAGTGATAGACAGCTAGTGATAAATAGAATGTTTTTTTACATTTATTACCTTTAAAATATAATTCTAATAATAATGAAAATAACATAAGGTTATTTAATTTTAATGCGACAAATGTGCACGATTTTCTTTGCACAGCTTTGTAAAATCTGGTTGCTTTTTGATCAGCTTCATTCTTGAGTCATCTTCAAGTTGAAGTTGGTGACAATGTTTAGTTTACATGTTTGTTGTGGCCGAAAATCCACTCGCAGAGGTATGTTGTACAAAATGGTAGTAAATATTTTATTGCCGCTTCGCTGACATGATGATAATGATAATTGTACAATTTTTGTTTCTTGCATAAGAATTTCATTTAGGTATTGTCACAAATTTTTTTGATGAAATTTTGAGAATATTTTTAGTTATAAATAAACGAATTTGTGCATTCAAAATCATGTTGTAAATTGCCGAATTTTTGATGGTCCACCCATTATTTTTTTGATTGCTTTTATGCATTCATCTTTTATGCATCTCATGCATTTAAATTTTAAATCGACCAATTTTAGATTGCTGCGTGTACCCCTTCATGCAATTTTGCATACCCCTGGGAGGTACACGTACCACTAATTGGGAACCATTGATCTAAACCAACGGTCCGCAACCGGTGGTCCATGGAGAAATTTGGACATTGATCAACTGAAGGTTACGCGAAATATTATGATAGAAATGTAAAATGCTTAGTTGCTTTTTTCACTCATTGGGGTTTTTTATTCGAATCTAAAATCAAAAACAAAGTGACTGTTATCAATAAATAATGAACAATAAACAATATTATGAGTGTGATTGTCGTCCTTAGTGGAAAAGTGCAAAGAATCCATAAACTTGTTTCAAACTAGCAGCAATGAACTTTGGGCTTGCATTAATTTGTTATAATTAAACATGTGAGTTTCATATTAATATAGTAAAATTGAACTTTTATGATCATTATTCTACAGATTTTGTATCGTTTAAAAAAATTCACGATAATGGTCCACGGGATTCAAAATTGTGACTTTAGTGGTCCATGAGGTGAGAAAGGTTGCCAAGGATATGCATTTCGGACATTAACTCATTGGTCCTCTTTTTAATTTTACATAAATCTGATTAAAACATTAGATGAATCTAATGTTGATCTGCTGATCTAAACATTAGATGAATGCTACAATATAATATAGAAAGTCTGGAGGGGGTAATGAAAAAGAGGACTGACAAGGGACATGTCCAAAATGCATATCCTCAAGTATCAATAAAATCTTGTATATCCATCTTACGTGTGTGTTCCTGTACGATTTGTTCTCTCACACAATTTTATGTTTACGAGGTATCCATAATTATAACAACAAAAGGCAATCGAGTACAACAGCTTTTTTACTAAAATAAACTAAACAAGCAATTATTTATTGTAACCTGATCACAATGCTTGGCTGCAATTTTTAATAATTTTTTAATTTAAAATATATGCTCGCCACCTCAAATTAGTAGTGTCTCTTGCCCCTGTACATTATACTTTTCTGTTAGATAATAATAGAGTTGTGCAGGTCATCTAACTCCTTTCAGGGGAAACTTTTTGAATTGAAATAATGTAACTTTCAGTTTGCATCAGAAGTTTGAATACAGTTAATTGGAGGCGCAGGAGGCCCTAATCTTTCCATATCTTATCTCAGCTTTCATCTAACTCCATTCTTGAGATTAAGGAAAGACAGACAGATGACTGGAAATTTATAGGTCTACAGTTTTTTTAAATTGCAGCCCAACAAATAGTTTTTCCTCCTTAAGTTTTATGAATGATTTTTGTATTTATATTTTAAATAATTTAAAACATGAAAAGAAGCATGCACATTTTATTTATGTTAATTTAAAAAATTTTATAGACAAAAAATATCTATGTGCATATAAAGGAGTGTTTAAATACATCAAATATCTCTCAAGATTTTCAATAAATTTTTTTGGGTGAATTGTGGATCTCCTTTCCTGGTAATACTCTGTACTCCCAGACGCCTCTCACTAAGACCACCCACAATTTACAAGTTATTCCTTGTCATATAATTGTCCTAGCTATGCTCTCGTACAGCCAATTGTTAATTAGAAATCTGTCACTCCTAATCTGGAGTAATTGGGTGTAACCTTGTACTTTTGTATAAAACACATATGATAAACACTGCAGCAAAGCCAAGAACCCGAGAAACATAGTAGTATTCTTTAGAGCAGGGGTGGCCAACCTTTTGCATACCATGCGGCAATTTTTTGATAGACGAGTTCAGATGCGCAGTGGCGTACCGTGGGTGTTAGCCGCCCGGGGCGGAGAAAAATTTCAGCCACCCTTTAATCAGGTATTTCAATTTAAAAGATCAAAATTCAGTTGTGTGAAAAAAAAATTAATAAAAAATGCGGTGGTGGTGTAGTTACCCGTACAAAATAGTCCCGTTTGACATTAGTGGCATACACGATTGCGAATGTATCGTGAATCGTAGAAGGAAAAAAAAAAAAAAAAAANAATCATTGATGGACAGACCCTGCACAATTTTCCAGTTATGTTGCTCAGAACTGACTAAAGCGCCACTTGTAATCGTCCAATGCGCCAAGTTTGGCACATGCGCCACGGTTTGGCCACCCCTGCTTTAGAGGCTTGCAGGTACTGTACATTATCAGCAGTAACACTTTGTATACAGATCTGTCTTAACAGTATTTATTCAGAAGCCATGTGTCTAAGGTTGACACAGCTAAATTTTTGCTGTGTATTATAGGCATCAAACACAATGTTTACTGGTTCTTTTGGATATACTGCCACTAAGGGCATCTAATGCAACTTGATGGGCAAAGTGGCATACTCACACTATCATAATTATTGCTTAAAATCATAGTTTGTTGTCCAGAAAATCAGCAACAAAGCCTTATTCAATTGAATGGCAGGTTATATGGAACAAATATGTCTGCTTAAGTACTACTACACAAGACTCCACTGTGTAATCTCTACAGGTTGTCCATAAATGATTGCTATACTTATTATACCGAGGTAAGTAGTATTCAGCTAAACAGTTGTAACTAGTGCCATTTGAATGGCAAACTCTGAAAGTTTTATGTAACAAGGATGCCCAATGTGAACTTCATTTACAATCTGATAAACATCGTCTAATCCAGCTTGTTCATTACTTTAACATGATCTTGTCAATTCTCTCAATATCTGTGATAATTTTCAGTTTTAATTAGTATCTAGTAGTAGCGATGATGCAAACACTACATAACCTCCCCCAAAGTCATGGTGGTATGTAAAATACACGAGTCACATGGAGTAAGATTGGGAGGAAAAGACCACTTCATCCACTCTTCATTTCAACCTCAATTCTTCTAATGATTTGCTAATTTGACATTAAATTTGCAAATATTTTGGTGAAGAGGCAGCATTCCATCTTGTTGAAAGACAAATGCACTGTCATATTGCTGCAGCATTAACCAATTCTTAAGCATATGCATAAGATTGTTATTTTTTGCAAAGAAAAATAGATTATACACTTGGCTATAACAGCCACTCAGATTTCTGCATTCTGATGATACTAGTTATGTACTGTACATTATATGGGTATGGTTTGTAGTTTCCTCATATTTTACCCCTGAAAGCATATACACTTTCAAGGATTACTACTAATCTTGTAATGGCCAGTGCCATCACATCTCTATGAAACATGATTAGGTAACACAGACAGATGACTGAATTAAATTTCATAACAAACATTTTGAATGTATTTTTGTGTTTTACTTGAGTATCTTTCTTCCATTATGAATATCTTATCAATATGATTAGTGTTACTTGGAAATTATTACATCAGTGTATTACATTTAATTATTGTCTAGTGTAAATCCAAGAATTGTAATAAATTTTAACTTTGTTCAGTAATCAAGTATATTTCATAGTTGGATTACTATTGCATTAACTTTTATGGACAGCTCAAACAGAAATGAACTATTAGCAAGCTTTTAATAAACATTAGGGAACAAGACCCTTAACATTAGATTGGGCTCGAGTTTCTAATTTTGTAATTTGTTTATTTTGCTTCTTTTTAATATTAAAAGAATTGACAGATCAGACACAATACTGTAGTTAATTTGTTTTGAACATAATCAGTCCAAACTACTCACTTTAAAACACTTGTGTAGATTAATTCCGACATATTACCGATTATTGGAGCTTTGTAAAGACAATTTTAGAACTTGCAAACACATTAATTTTGGTCCAAAGATTATGATTTTTTGGTTTAATAATTATGTTCATTTTTGGAAATTTCCAAAATGGTTTGATTTTAAAATTAAGCAAAAAACCTTAAATCTTGAATTTTGTTATTGTTTAGTCTTCTCATTGGAGAGAAAAACAGTACTTAGTCATTAAACAATAAAAGTTTAATGATTTAACTTTATATTATAGTCTACATCCAACGTTTCTGAGGATGTTTATTAGAATATTAAATTTAGAGATTGAACAATGATAGCAAATACGAGGATAAATGTATATTAAAACAACACAATGGAAACAATTCAAACTTTGAAATTTTTAATATTCTTCTAGATCATTTAAATGCATAACTGATATCTCCCTGATTATGCTTGTTTCAACAATAATATAGACAATTTCATACTGACTAAAAGAAAAAAAGCTACCCGCCTACAGCCAGTGAACAAGTTCCTAGTATCCAAAGTATTCTACATAATTTCAACTTTGAATAACTAACTTTTATATAAATCAAAATAATAATGCATTTATCAACAGCTTTTTCAAATTATCAATAAAACTATACATAATAGTCTACAAACAAATCAGCTCTCAAATTATAGTGAGCTAATAACTTTAATGCATTTACATTCTAGCTGCAGGGGGTGTCGCTTGTCAATTTTCACAGACGGATAGCGCGTCCGTTTTCTCAGCAACGAGCTCTTCTCCGGTGAGAGTCAACTTCTCTCTGGCAAAATCATTGATGGACAGACCCTGCACAATTTTCCAGTTACGATCTGATCCAATTTCGACGGGAAAACTAAACATGACGTCAGCAGGAACCCCGTAAGATCCATCTGAATATACTGCCATGGATACATATTTTCCCTAAAATAAAAATTAAAAAAAAATAAATATAAGAAAAATAAATTTCTTTAATTTATATTTTATACATATATGTATGTATGTGTATATACACAAATGTAAATAAAGGCTGTTGCTAAAATTTAATGCAAATGTTTTCAGAAAAATTGTCAAAAGTAACATTTTTATTACCAAGTAAATCATTAAAAAAAATACATTTAGTTGTAAATGTTTAATTCTACTTTGATTTTTCATCAAAATACATGTTAAAAATAAGTTAGACTTCAGAATTCATTTTGTTTGTAGATGTACTCACTGATATTGCATTAGTACTTTACAGAGAGAAAACAGTTATTTGCTACAACACAATTGAAAAATCTCTAAATAAATTACGTAGCAAAAAATAATTAAAATATTTTGTTTAAAATTTGGGGATGTTATATTTATTTTCATGAAATTTAGTTTTATAAATAAAACAGTCTAGAATAGTTTTAAAAGTAAACTACTAAANTAATATGAATAGTAAAAATGTTAGTTTAATCACAAGCTACTGAATACATTATCATACATTGAAAAATTTTTATTGAATTAATAAAATCACTGATGCAAAAGTTCAATTTTCAGGTGGAAAGTAAATATTAAAAGGAAGAAAAAGGTTTAATAAAATCAAAATAAATAATTTTTCAATTAAATTTAAGTAGGAAAGATGATATTTATCTTTGAATCTAATCCAAAATCCAACTTATAAAATATAAAATGTAGACATTTTTCATTTGGAAATATCCTCTTAAAGTTTTGATCCAACGTTCGGCAGAATTTTAAACAATCGGGAAATGCCTTTTTTTGTGGTTTGCACATTCACATTTTAGCTTATGATATTTAAATATGCTAAGACATCTTTAATCATAAGAATGTAGCACTGCTTTATAATCGGACGACTGAAATCGGCAGCAACAATTTTTTTACAAAGTTTAAAAATTGTCACTTCTGTGTAATAAAGTAATAAAACCCTTGTTTCAAAGAATTAAAACAAGAGTTTGATAAAGAAGTAAAAACTTTTTTGTGACTTTGTCCTCTAGAGGGCCTTTTTACTAATGTGTATTATGGTTTGACTAAGCCCACAATGTGGATGCCTGGTGGCAAGGGATGGGGCTGAACATATATTTTGTTATTTTCTTAAATATGCATTACATGATTCATATAAGTTCAAATGTTGTGCACTTAGTTTTTACATTGATGAATTTGAAAGTAACACTTGTAAAAAATAGAGAAATACCTTATGTCTATTGTAATAATTGCATATTTCCTCAGTAACTGCTAAATGCAAAGTCAAACAATTCTGTGAGGAATGTTTTATATTGCACACATTTCTAAAAAAAAGGAACAGTTGCAAAAAACATGCAAAAGTAAAGCATTGTCAGATCTTAGAACAAAAGTGGAATAAGTATTTAGATGCAACAAAAATAATTTTTAATAATTATAAAATGCAAAAAAAAAAAAAACTTAATTTTGAGGATAGAGACAAGGTCTATAAAAAAAAAACTGTAAAATGCTAATATTGAGTAAAATCTTCATTAAGTCCAACCCCATCAAGATATGACGTGACACCCCCTACCTTTAAACACCAACACCCTTTATATACAAGGTAACAACCAAATTTCATTTCTTTATCCCATCCCGAGATATTAAATGAAACATGCCAACACACACATTGAATCCAAAAATGGGAAAAAAATTCCAAGGTTTTAAAACATTGAGATTTGCAAAAACCCAGGAGGATCAAATTTGACAGATTCCAACTTTCCCTTGTTATGTATATATAATAGCCAGGAAAGTAGGAGGACAGTTTGTAACTTCACAAAAATTTTTCTAGGACAAGAAAATCAGTTTATAAATGTCAAATTTTGCAAAAAGTTTAATGATGTTATGCTTCATATTTTGTATTTTATAAAATTTAATTTTATAAAATACTAAGCTTTCTGCTGTTTTTTAATTTATTTAATTTTAACTATTTGAATAATTAAAATTATTTATACCTGAGGAGTACCATGCCACCAATCTCTCATGTGATCACCAGCAGCTTTAGCTGCAGACATAGCACTAGACAATTTTCTTGCAGCAATTACAGCAGCACCTCTTTTCTGTACAACCTGTAAAAATTATACAATAGTAATGGATACATATGCAATAACTACTTTTTAACAATAAATGTGTACAATCTGTGCGATTTGAAGGAAGACGAAGGAATTTGCCTTCTACTTTTCACATCTGCGGTTCTACAGAAACTGAAGTTTCTTACCCAGGGATAGCTTCTTCCTACCATATATCAAACATGTGGGTGTCAAAAATTTTACAATTTTGTGTAAAATCAAACTTTCAGTTTTACAAACTACAATGATGATTTATAAGTGTAACTATGTAATAATTCATTATTTGTGACATCTAAATTGTATGAATTTTGTCCAAACTCACTGCAAGCAGCCTTTTGTTTTGTCTTGTTTGCTTACCTACCAATGTCAGTACAGCTGGACAGAAACATTTAGGAATGCTTAAAATAAACATATGTTTATCCTGATTGGTAGACAGATATCTTCCTGAACTGGAAACTGGTGGAGAGTTGCTTAATGTCCTTTTGGTTTTTTAAAAAATTCTTACAATACATGTAGGCTATCTGCAATTCTTTTCCCACTGCAGTAATACTATCACCATGATCTTTATGACACCTGTTCCCTAATAATAAATTGAGATCATTCAGTTTGTGTACAATTCTATATATAGGGATATGAAATTTTCAAAACTTCAAAGATTTAAAAGCTTTAATGCTAATATTTTTGTCATAGTAATTTATTGTTACTAGAAATGAATGAATTCAATCTATTATAAATTGATTAGATCAGGTGATTCTCAAACTTTTTGAGCCACTGCTACCTTGGTTCCATAAACTTATGCCCAACATTGACCAAACACTCCTAACCCAATTTTCCTTTTCTTAAGAATATTTCCAAGCCTTTCTCAAATAACTTTTTTTCAATGACCTCATGCTGTGTCCTAACTACATTGTTCTCCATGTCTGGAACCATTGAACACCATGTTTCTTCTTACTCATTTTAATGGAGAAAAGGGTAAGTTTGTCAATGATTCCAATCCTTGCCTATGGTCACCATTTGATCAGGAGCCTGACTCCAGCACCCTCTGCTACCTCCCTTGCTTCTTTTTGCTCTCCTGGGTTTACTCACTGCTTCTATGAGGCAGTAGCACACACTTTGGAAACCACTGGATTAGATGACTATATTGAGAATTCTTAAATTTAAATTCATAAATAGACCAGAAATTTTAGAAAAGCTTTATTCAAATTCAATTTAGAGTTTCAAATGTTGGATTATTAAACACATTTAGACTTTCTTTTAAATAAAAAGTTAAGTAAACAAAAGCAGTAAAAAGACAACAAAAATAAAGAATCAATTATCTTGATAAGATGTTAGCAAAAGGTTTTCTTGATTTTGTGATATCAGTATTGAATGCTAAGTGAAGTTTCTTTATTTTCACTATGTTTGTGTGCCAACACCATTTTAAATTTCTTCTGCTTTGAAATTTACTTTTACTATTATTTGAATATTAATTAAAACCTTTGTAACTTTTGCTCATTTGAAGCCAAAAAATACCAAAATTTTTTGCAGATTTGAAGCCTTCAAGGCTTTGATTCATATCCCTAGGGATATGAATCGAATTTTACTGCATATTAAGTGAGTGATTGTCCTTCCTTTGGAAAATTTTACAAATTGCACACTGTGTAATTCAACTCTTAATAAACAAATTTTAAAATTTTATTATGTTCAATATATAAGATAAAAATCAATGTTTTTATTCTAGTAATTTTTCTGCAATATAAATTTATTTCACATTCAAATAAAGAAAGATTATTCCTAAAAAATAACTGACCAAAAGGATTGACTGATTAATCAAATATAATGAATATGATCAATCACAATCAAGATTAAATTTAATTATGTACTATAATTTAAAATGCATTTACATAAAACTTGTGTTTTCAGATGATGATAAAATAAATCAAAAAGAAAAGATTCATTTTAAAAAGATACTTACAGAAATAAAGTCTCCTTTCAAATAACTTTCTTCTATGACATCAATTACTTTAGTTTTTTTGCCACCAACATTAGCTTCTGCATGACTGGCATCAGGAAATTGGGTTGAAGAGTGATTACCCCAAATTATTACATTAGAAACTTCGTTTGGAGAGATTTTCAGTCGGGAAGCAATCTAATTACATTATATTTATATATAAATTATTGAAATAATGAGTAACTTTATCCAATATATTTACTAAAAATCTGTATAAACTGTAGTTAAACATATGTAAAAATATAAATATAAGGATTAGTAAAGCACAAACAGAATCTAATTAAAACATTCCACCAACTAAACTTAATTTATTAAGCATATGATAAATGGTAAGTTAAAATTTCACCTATAAAACATTTTTTCAAAAATCTTCAACCAAAGTATACTTTTGTTAGCATTTTGGAAACTTAAATTTGGTTTTAGAAATTTGTTATTTGATGATTTTGATCCCATTATTGCAAATATTTTGTCTTAAAAATTTATTCAGTAGCTTTATGATTCTGCATATAAATTAAAGCAAATATTTTCAGCTTTTTCTGTTCTAGATACTGAAGATGGCATTCAGAGAAGTTTAAATGCAAAACAGTTACAAAAATATACACACAGTATCTGGAAGTCTTAGCAATTACAATAATGTATTGCAAAGTTACTAAGGACTGTATATTTCTATATACTGTAACACCATAAAATTTTTTGACCTCATTTCCTGTAATAATAAATTACTAAGCTTTAGTAAGTTATACTATTGAAAACTTCTGTACAGAGCTAATTGTAATAAATTACTATACTGTAGATCCACCTTGTTTTCCATGTCAGAAAAAACTTAGCTTGCTAACTTGGATTTCTGTAAACTGATAACCCCTGCTAACTAGGACTAATAGGGAGATGAAAGTTTACTGTATTTATAAAACATTTTTGACTAATTAGTGGTAATATATTTATTTTCATTTAATTACAATTTTTAAAGTATTTTATTATTATAAATTTATTTTTTGCCANATTTCATTTCTTTCCATTTTTAAAAATATTGTGTAATAAATAAATTTATTTTGACCAGTGAATGTGATGGCAGCATTATATTCAAGTTGCTAATTACTATGAACCAGCTTTCCATTTTTAAAAATATTGTGTAATAAATAAATTTATTTTGACCAGTGAATGTGATGGTAGTATTATATTCAAGTTGCTAATTACTATGAGCTAACTCTAAAGAATAATATATTTGAAAAAGATTTAAAATGTTTGCATTATTTGTGTATTTTTTAAAGCAATTACTTTTATTTTAATAAATTAAAGCTGAGAAATATTAGAAAACTAATATATGCAGAATCACACCTTTTAGTATGCCATTTAGTATTTATAAGCCTTATTTTGTTGAAAATTTTTACATTACTTCAACTTGTCCATAAGCTAACCAATAACAAAGATTCTTTCAAAAACATTATTATTACAAACGTCCTTTTTATCATCAAGTCCTACAGAAAATGGTGGTGATAGGAAATAAACAGATTATTACAGAAATGAGTAAAACAAAGTTTAACATGAAGAAAAAGGAGGTCAACTGTCTCAAAAAAGTTCAAGCTATCTTGACCTTCGCAGATTATACAGAAGCAGAGCTGTCAAGAATTCTAGACATGGCATGGAAAAGGCTAATTTTGGTGACACAACATAATTGGAAAAATCTCAATATCAGATTCTAATCTATTTATTAAAATCAATAATAAAAATAAATCTGTGTATTAAAATATATTATTTCACATCTAGTCTATGTACCAAAACTGCATGTTTATTGCAAGATCATTTGGATTGGGAACTAGTATTTTGATATCAATCATCAACAGAAGAAGTCTCGTGATTTCTACCTTTGTCTTTTTTGTGTCATATTTTAACATATATATATATATAAAACAACATGAATAGGTTCTTGTTCATGGTCAGTCATTAATTTTTTATTCTCAGATTTTGGAAAAGTTATTAAAAAATTGGACTCCAAACTATTCAAAAAATTAACTAACATCAACACTAATGTAAAGTGAAATGTAATGCATGTACTCAAAGAACTTTGAATTAATAAAAAATACACTCCAAAATGTATTGAATCCTGTCACTTCTCATATATCTGAATAAATTTTTTACAAAATATGAATTCCTACTGACAAACATCTAATTAAAAAGTATTATTGTATTAAAAATATATGATAATGACAAAGAATACTCAAATTATTAAGATCAATCTCAAACTGAATTAAAATCAGATATAGTTAAAAGTGATGATCTTCCAGAAGATGGTTGAAATTTGCATTTGAAATAGCTAATTCTTTAGTGTAAAATTTTGAATTAATTAAATAAAAAAAAATATTTGTTTCTGATTAGTTTTTTAAAGAAAAAATGTTAAATTTTTTGTAAGAAAACATGTCACTGTAATTTAAGCAAAATAAACCATCTACTTATATTTAATTAATTGAGAAATTTTCATGTATTTTAAACAAAACACGAAGGTAAGTTAATCTATAAAGTCATCAGTAGCTATTGATTAAATAAAACAGTGTAAATGATCTATAAGATAAATTTGTAATAGAACATATACAATATGTGTATTCTGCAACTATGTACAGTACATTAAATAACATAAAATCTAATCAAAATATATTGTTAAAGATTTTAAAATTTTAGAGAAATAGAAACTTGCCTGTGCTTGAGCTCTGTTCTGATCCAATCTTGTCATAGCAGAAAAATTTTCTTTAGGAATAGATGGAGCATATTTACTACAGATAAAAGCATTTGTGTTTGCAGGATTACCAACAACTAAAACCTAGAAAAAAATACTTATTATTAGAGCATTAAATATATAATTATTTTAAAAAGTTATAAAATTACAAATATATTAGTAAATCACTATATAACTAAATTCATAATGGTTATGCTATTGTTTGTTTTGTGTAGTGTGTGAATTCCTGTAATGTACTGTACTTGCAGAAAGTGTGAACATACCTGTATATTAGCATTTACAAAGTAATCCCCATCTGCGGATACTGCATGTATTTAGTTAGTTGCCACTGTTGGCAAACACATCTAAAACTGTTTTTGAAATATCATCAAGTTCCTTTTTCATGTGACATTGAATGTCAAAATGCAAATATTCATCCTTTCATGAAAGTTTATTTTTAAGAAGAGCCAGAAATCACAAGGGTCTAAATCAGGTGAATAGGTGAAAAGAAATCAATTACCAAATTGAACCTAACTAGGAAATAGGAAATTATGAACACTGAGCACATCATGGCTTGGGATATCTGAATGGATGGCCACTACATATGAATACTCTCTGGATTGATTGCTAAATGGCCCATTTGACAATCAATCCAGAGTATGACCAGTAATTTAAACACTATTCCATCATCTTGCTTACAACATGTTTGACTGATAAATGCAATTGTCTCTATTACTGATTTAGAAAAATTTCAATTTATCATAAGCAACATGAAAATGTGAAGAGAAAGGTGAAAAGGGGACAAGATGACACGTATGATGACAATTTTGGGGCAGATTGTCTTAAGCAGTGTTTCTCAACCTTCTTTTTTTTTACCTTTGGCTCCCTTTGAGCTTAGTTTTCTGAGGCCCCATAATAGCAGTTCAGGGAAAAATTAAAAAAAACAAATATTTAAAAAGCAGTGGCTTTTTTTAATATTACAAAAATCCATTTTCTAATATTTAAAAAAGCAGTGGAAAAATATGTACAGTACATAATATATGTTAGTAACATTCTTTTGTGTAGCGACTAAAAATAATTGATGGTTGAATTACAATGTTGATATTGTACAACCAACATGCTTTGCACACATATGCAAGATTCAACATATATTCAATTCTTGTAAGCAATGACATGTGTATTATCAGATAACAAAACACTTGACAAAAAAAGTAAATTGTGTTCAAAATTGCCCTATTTTAATAATTTACATACATTTCTCTAATAATTTACTTACTGAAGTTTAATCATTTTCATTTAATTTTAATAGTCAAACCTTGGTTTTCAAAACATAATTTGTTCTTAAAAGTTGAAAACAAATTTGTTCTAAAATCAAAATAAATTTTTCCCATAAACAATATAAAATGGATTAATCCATTCCTCATCACCAAAATAAAACTTTTTTGTTGATTTGTCAGGCCGTTGATTTTATTCAAAATAGTATGGGGAGTTGACAGTCTTCCTTTCTAACCTGTGGTCAGCTCTTGCTGAGTAGCTTGTTTGGCAACCAGAGCAAATATAAGTTCAAAATTCTGCTCATGAACTGAATTGTTTGAAAATTGAGACATTCAAAAACTGAGGTTTGACTACATTTTATTTCGGTAGTGGCTCTTCAAAAGTTGATTTATGGCCTGTGGGCCCCTTGAAATGTTCTGTGGCCCCAAGTTGAGAAGCATTGGTTTATAGAACTGTTTTCAGCCAACCTAAAATGATACATATTAGGGCATAGAAAAAAAAAAAAAAAGTTATTTTTGCTGATCATGGTCATAAGGTGCACATGCTTCCTACAGAATGATGTGAACAGACTACTACACTACTACAGAATGAACTCCTACAATGACAAGTCAGTCAATGGAAATTTTAATGTCATAATAAAATTGTGCAGTCAAATCATTTTTCCGACTTTAATTAGGGATTATAAAATTAACTTTTTGGAAAGCAACTTGATTGTAAGCATAAACTCTAAATAGTTTAAAGAAGCAGACTTATAATGAACACAATAGTGTTTCATTAAGAGGTCAAGACATCGATTTTAATGAATTTTGTGTGTCCATGTCCATAATGGAGTTGGTTTATTTGGTTGCAGCAATGCAACACATGGGCAATCTACCAAGGGGATGCTTCCCAGGAATGTGAAGAAAACCAGAAAACTCCATGTGACCAGCACGTTGGCAATGCATGAGCCCACAACCAACTACTAGTGTTCAGTGGTTTTATCCACTTAGGCACTGATGGGCTGTTCATAATTAAAACTGTTCACTTAAGAGATCAATTATAATGAAGTTAGACATTTTTAAACTGGATCATGAAAACTTTCAATCATGGAGGAGTCACTTCAGACATTTTATATATATTTTTTCCAAATTAAAATAATAGGTTAATTTCAGATATTCAATAATCTGATATTTTTAACACACTGTTTAGTTGTACATTTCCTAAATAAGCTAGTCACTACCAGAATTTACAACTGATGTTACACAAAATCAATTATCAAATTTTTGAACTTATAAACAAATTGTCCATACTTTACAACTTACATGCAGTTAATAGTTAAATCATAACCGCTTAGATTTAAATATTTGACAAAAAAGTGCTAAATTTTTTATGATTATTATTGCATTTGTTGGCTACATGGAAACACTGTATAAATAAATGTTCTCTAAGCAATAGAGCTGTTACATGTGCACATTCATAATGGTTTTTTTTAATTTAATAGTATTTGGTGTCTAACAAGGAAACTGTCGGAGTGTCTTCTAATAAATTTTAATAAAATTTAGTTAATAACTACGTTAAAAGTATACAAAATTATTATTATTAACTAAATTTTATTAATTCTTCTCCTATTTTTGAAAATTTCAGAATTTATTCTAAATGTAATATCGCCGTCTTCCTCCGCGACCCTTTCACTTCTAAAAATTTGCATAACTGTGTTAAACTACTATAAAGTAGTGCAACATTTGATTGCTAATAACTCTGATCAACACTTTTTTAGTGAATGCTACAAATTTAAAATAGAGTTTTTGTATACTTTTAACGTAGTTATTAACTAAATTTTATTAAAATTTATTAGAAGACACTCCAACAGTTCCCTTGTAAGTGGTAAAATGGTTTTCTTATATTTAAAATTGCATTCTATGCCCCAAAGGAAAGTAAACTGAAACATTATATGCCTACATTTACTAGATAAAATAAAAGGAATTTATTCAATTTTTCAGTCTCACTGTGAATACTTTTAATGCTAATCTGTCCATATTTTGCCTTCAACTCTTATGGTAACCCTATCAGTATAGATGTTATCCATAGTAAATGATGTAAAAATATTAAAAAAAAACACATTTGATTTATTATAGTTAAGTCAAAGTAAAGAAGTGACAAATTAAATATTAATGATTTGAGGTTAGTATGTTTGTTTGATTAAAAGCTAGAAAGGCACCTCCATTTACAATTAAATTTGTGTATTGTTTAATTAATAATAAAAAATTTCATAAAATGCTAGATTTCCTTCAACCACTCAATTTTTGTTCAAATTTTCAAGCTTGTAATCTTCTGAATTGATATTTCACACAAAGTAATGCTTACTTTGAGTAATATAATCAATTCAGAAGTTCATTAGGAAAGGAGAAGAAAAAAACAACTTTCAGTATCAAGGATATGATTAGTTACAAATAATTGTTATAACTGTAAATAAAAATATTTTTTTATATTAAAGCTGGATTCTACAGTGTAACTTTTAACTGGGATAAATGTTCATTTTTAATTGTCCCAACTTTTTAACCACATGCCCAAATACAATTTTGATTTAATATTCACAAGATAAAAGTGGGCGATTTTTGTATCTCAGTTTTTTGCTTGGTTGTATTGTCATACAAGCAAAAATAGACTGAATTAATGACTGATTTGCATTCCAAAATATGAATATCAACATTTGATATTGTTGCAATGTTATACTAACATGTTCACATTTAATATAAATATAATAATAGGATATTAAACTAATTTTGTTATCATTCTATTCATTTATTGTTGTTTAGTATAATATAAATTTAAAAGATATTACAATTAAATTTTTATATTAGTAATTCATTTCTATTACTTCTCTATGTTTAAATATAAAATTTCATTCATTGGAACTGATTATTATTACTCCAAAACTGCTATTCTAAATTTGCATCAATTTTATGCTAAAATCTGGTAGTTGATAAAAACTTTATAATGAAACCATATAACATGTATCGATCCATGATATTTACTTACTTTAACAGTTTTCTTTGCATATTTATCTAAAGCCATTCCTTGACTTTTAAAAATCTTAACATTAGCAGCTAATAAATCTTTTCTTTCCATTCCTTCTCTTCGAGGCATTGAACCAACAAGAAAAGCTGATTCAATATTATCAAAAGCTTTAGCTTCATCTGTAGTTGCAACAATATCTGAAATTATTAATAAAAAAAAATACTAGTATAATAAATTATTTTAAAAATAATTTTTTATTGATATTTGAAAATCTTTGATATTTAAGAAACATTAAATATTTAGCACTTGTATTACGATGATTAGACAAACTTATAATTACTATCAGAAAATTATTATTTTCATACCTACTACAAGTGGAAAGGCACAATCAATTAATTCCATTACTACACCTTCTAAAACACCCATCATTGGAGGAATATCCAAAAGATGAAGAATAATACGCTAAAATTAAAAATCAAGTTTATTACAGCTCAGAAGAATTTATTAAAGAATTAAAAAAAAAAAAAAATAGAATATATGTCTTACTTGATCTTTACCAAAAACATCTCCCTTTGCAATTGAATGTAAGAGAGAATAAGCAATTTGGCCTGCTGCACCAGTCACAAGAACACGTAGAGGTTCCTATAATAAGCACAAGAAAAAAAAATGCTATTAATTTATATTATTACATTACATTTAGAAAAACAAACACTAAATGAACAGTTGATTTATACTAAATTACAGGCAGTCCTTCACTTCTGGACACTTGACTTTTATATAACTAGCTCTTTCAAACATGATACAAAAAGCTATTTTGGGATATCAAAGTACATCAAATTTACACTTTGTGCATTTTCAGCCAACAAAGAAAAATTGAGCTGTCAGTTTTGGTTTCAGTAACATCAAAATCATTCAGGAAAATTTTCATAATCTGTTTTCTGCTTAATCTATAGTCTTAATATTTAAGGTATTTTATACACTAACATATTCACTATAAAAAAAATAACCAAAAATCTTCTATCTTAAGATATAATTTTTGTTTTTGGTTCTGAGAATGAAATTCTTCATAACATGCAATTCTACTGTTCAACTTTCATACTCATTTCTGTGAATGTATTACATCTAAAAGTAATGGACTGTATTTCCATTCATAATATTTTAATATCTATGAAATTATATTTAACATCATATAAACAGGCTTTTTTTTTACTTGTAAAAGTCAAAGTCAAATCAAAAAGGAAAATTCATGATCAGAATTAAAATTATGAACATGATGATTTGATCATTGAGTTACTTTACTTTTTGATTATCATCATCATTTTTACATAACTTTTGTTTCACTTTAAATCTTAAAATTTAGGTCTATGGCTGGATATTAAAATATCTGAAAACAAAATAAATGCATTATGAATTATAAATAAAAATCAATACAAATTTTGAATCAATAAAGAACAATTCTACTGGCTATACATATTTCATGTGATATTACAACTGTAGATCAATATTAGACAAAAATGGTGCTGTTATTTATAATCAGGTGCTATTAACAATCACATCAAATAATCAGGAATCCATTTTCTTTTTATATTAAAAAACTTAAAATCTAAAACCAGATGATTATTATAAGCAATATTAGATTAAATATGTAATATAAAGATAATACATTTGTATTAATTTGTATGGGATGGACAAAAAGTCTGTAAAAACTAAACATTCATAAAAAAATGGAAGAATTATTAGAATGAAATGTGATGTGTATTGGTAAGCATTGTCAGCAGAAGGGATTTTTGTTGATGAGAAAAACAAAATTTAGTTTCAAAAATTACTAACAGGTGGTGTTGACATACAAAAGAAATGCAAATGACAATGAAAATGACATTCAATGTATTTATTAGACAACGACACAGCATCTGCCACAGGCTAAAATAAAATTTAGCAAAGTAACAATGTCCTCAACTGCAGAGTGCAGCATGTCCGGACAGATGGATGGATGTTACCTTGCATCAAATAACATTTTTCAATTCCAACAATATGGAAGAATAAAATCAAACATTTGAGAATTTAAATACCATCACAAATCACATTGAAAATCATTCTTATTGTCATTAGCATGCCTATTCATTATTTTGTCTGCCAATGCCACCTATTGGAGATTTTTGGAACTAATTTTTTCTATCATCAACAAAAATGTCCCTTCACCAGTGGCATACTGTAGTGGGGGCGGCCCGCCCCGAGCAGCACTTTTTAGGGGCAAGCAAAATTTCACAATAAATAATAATAATATCTTGTAAAAATTTGAAACATCCTATCTCTATACTTGCATCACGCCTACGATAGTGCTATCATCCAGACAGTCTGGGAATTGGCTCGCCGTCTGGGTGAACTAGTAACTTTTTCATCTGAGGAAATCCTGTGAAACCTGTTGACCTTTTTTTTTTTCCTTTTGCTTATACGATTCATTCACGTTCATATACACCACTAATATCCAATAGAACTATTTTAAACAGGTCGCTGCACTACCACCGAATTTTTCATTGCTTGTTCTGTGACAAAAATGAATTTTGGTCTTTTAAATTGAAATACCTAAATAAGGGGGGCGAAACTTTCCTCCGCCCCGGGTGGCCGACACCCACGTACGCCACTGCCCTGCACTAACAATACTTACTACACAAATGGTATTTCATTCATAAAAAATGGAAGAAATATTAGAATGTTAGTGTTTACAGACTTTTTGCCCATCCTGTATTTGAAAAAAACTTAGAAATAATAAAATGTATACTTTAGTAGAATTATGTCTATTCCGAATGATTGTTAGGATACAATTGTGTAGTCTTTATACTGTACATAATATTTTCTATATAAACATCCCAAAGCCCAATGTATTAATACTGAACTAAATGATCACCATAGTTAAACTGGCTATTTTTTACTACTATTAATAATTACTAATAAATTATTACCATCTCTTATTAAATTATTATAATTAATAATTTCAATATTTATTAATTAATTTAGAACAGTCTGGAAGAAAAGAATTGGTCTGGATTGGGCTTGATTAATTATGGTGATTGTTTGGTTTAGTATTCTGATGTTTCTTTTGCAATGTACAGCACGATTCATCCATGAGAGAATAACTATCATAAATAATAACAACTACTTCTATTGAGAGAGAAATCTGAAATATTATTTATTAATTATGTGGTTGATTTTGTATAAACAGAAAATTAAATGATTCATTTAATTTGTGTATATAAAAAAAAGGTATATGTAGTATGTAGAACAAGTTAATTTAAACTTATTGTAGAAATCTTTAAAAAACAGTTTTTAAGTCTAATTTTCCAGTACTCATTTTATATAATTAAATATTTCACCGAAGAAAATCTCTCATTAAGTTAATCCTGAAAGGATTAACCATGCATGCATGACCTTGAGTAATTCCTGATAGTGTTGGGGGAAAACTTAACAGTTTTGGCGAACTGTACCGACCACCGGAGTAGAATCGAAAAACCATTTGATTTTCCTGCACAGTGTCAGACTGCGCAGGCCAACCTTAACGTGTGTGCCATCATGTCATTCAGTTGTGAGACTGCTGAGTAGTTAGAACAGTGTCTCGTGAATGTTTGGACGAATTATTTTCTATAACCTTATTAACTTTTATTATTTATAACCTAATAAATTAATTTTTCAGGTTATAAATTATTTTCGGATCAAAAATTTCTTGAGTAAATTAAAATTATAAATAATTTTAATATTTAGAAAACTTCTCAATTCATTTCTTCCGTTTTCATAAAACATCTTGATACTCTATATCATTTTCTTTTACATTTTAAAAAATTTATTGTTTTAATATCCAAGTAAATTAAAACATGACAACTTAAAATAAGACAAAGTTTAATAAATTCTTTTTAATTATTAAATTATAAAATTAATTTGCAATAATAATGTTTACAATTTGTACTAATATCAGATGTGGTTGAGAATTATTTATATATATTCATCTATAAAATTTAATCCATGAATTTTTTTGGCAGTAAAATCGACTTGCCATTGATCTTTCGCTGATAATTGATGCTTTTTAACAGAATCTATAGCCCAAGATTTCTCTTGAAAAATTAATTTTGTGATCAGTGCTACCCAAACCACCACTACTACTATTTACACCATAGACTTCTATGCATACTTTTTTCCCACAAGTTTTAATAGAATTTGTTGCCAATAAACATCCAAGAACAGCCAGTATGTCGTCATCAGATGCCCTAACTGACTGACAATGGTGTAGCGAACATAACTGGTGCCCGGGGCATGACACTATATTGGTGCCATCCTCCCCCTCCAGAAACAAATCTTTGTCTTGGAGACCATTTGGCGCCCCTCTGCGAGTGGCACCCAGGGCACGTGCCCTACTTGCCCCACCCTAGCTATGCCTCTGCTGAGAGATTTTCTTCTGTGTGTGTGGGTGATTGGAAATTCTGAAGTTTCTCAAGGTCAGGCAGCCTCAAAGGATTAACTTAACATGTATGGCCACCTTTATGCATGGAAATATACACCATGTAGATTAATTTTGAATATTTAAAATCTTAGAAGTATTAAAAAATCAGTCACTATTATAAATTGTTATATACTTCCATCAGCATAAATGAGCTTTCTGTATATTGAATTGTTACAGAAATTTAATTTCCAGTAAAAAAAAACTTTAAAGTAGTGTTAAATTTAGTGTTAAAGTAGTGTTTAATTTAAAATAAATTGTGCAATTCCACAGTTAATGCAACTTTCTTCTGATTTCAAGCATTAAATCTTGCATATCTATTTAATAGAAAATTATTTTTATATTAAATTAATGTGCATGTTAAACATTAAAAGGTAATAGACTACACATTATAGTGAATTAAGAATTTATAAAATTCTAATAAAAATTTTCAGATTAATAGGTTCTATTAATTTTATTTAGAATACTGTAAAAATCATGGCATTACTTGAGAATATGCATCATAAAGTGTAAGATGAAAAACTGTATTAATAACTTTGTCTAAACATCTCTAACTGTTCTAGAGTATTAATTAGTTATCCATTAGCAGTATTCATCTGCTTGTATTTACTATGACATAAAATATTAGTGATTAATATTGTCATCAAAGCTGCTTAAAAAAGCTGGAAATGTGATCAATAAGAATATTTTTCGTTTTAATTTTTTTTATAAGTCTATAAAATGATTTTTATTTGTTTTTGCAAGATACTGGCACACAATGTATTTAGCTAGACTTAATTTCATCCACTGTGCTTAAATGCAATGGAGTTGGCAAAAGGACAAGGAAAAAACAAGATCCCTAATCAGAAATATGAAAATGTGTGAGGAACTTAGTTTGAATCCATTCTTGATAGCAAAAGTAGAACTTACTACAAAATAATCCACCTAAAATATCAATTAAAAAAATAAAACAAATTGCAGTGTTGGGAATGCAATGCATTATTTAACAATAATAGGAATATTTTTCAAAAATATATCCACCATCGCCACCTTAACTTTCTAACAATAATGTTAAACACCACACTTTCAGCATATTAAATGGCTTCAATCTGAATTTAAAAAAAAAATTATTCCTTTTTTTTTGTTTGGCTTGAGCCTGAATGTAGTTTAATGTGGCCAAAAGCATTAGTGTTTAATATTAAGAAGTTATTGCAGGAATATAGGCCACCAGTGGCTAAGCGGTCTTTGTACCCTGAACATTGGGAGTTTGGTCATGGGTTCGCACCTCGCTCAGACAGACTGGCCACATGGAGTTTTCCGGGTTTTCTCCACGTCTGTAATGCCTAAATAGGGGCCTGTTCTCCTCCCGGGAGATCACCTACCGTGTTTCCCCGAAAATAAGACAGTGTCTTATATTAATTTTTGCTCTGAAAAGTGCGCTAGGTCTTATTTTCAGGGGGAGGTCTTATTTTTTCCAGGAGGAAGAATTCACATTTATTATTGAACAAAAAAATTCCCAANAAAAATATAATATAGAATGTTACAATAAAAAATAATAATTTATTATTACATACCACAAATAGTTTGACTATAGTTTATGTGCGTCTTAAAATCTATAAAGAATTTCGAAAGCTTTAAGATCAAAATACATTTTAAGAATTAAAACTATTACGAAATTTTCTCTTAAAAAGTAATTTAAACTATTTACAAACCGTCTATAATTAATAAAACAGAAAAGATGCAACATACAGTACATATAATGAATAGAGTAACAAGAAAAAGATAATAATCTTTTTCTTGATAAGCCTACTCTGTTTATTAAAAATAGATTATTTCTATGTACTAACTTAAAATATGTAAAACTTTATAAAGAAATCTTGTACGATTTATGAAAGAAAAAGAAGAACAAAACGTAATTTAAAATGATTAAAATTTACATACTCCCCGAAAATAAGACAGTGTCTTATATTAATTTTTGCTCTGAAAAGTGCGCTAGGTCTTATTTTCTGCGGATGTCTTATTTTCGGGGAAACACGGTAGATGTTGCGTTGTCATAACAAACAACAAACAACTTATTGCAGGAATGGTAAAGTGGTATATTTATTTACGAATTATCATTCAATCAGTCTTATACATACATAGAATATATCTCTCTTTCTTCATTAATTGATCTTGACAAATATTCACACACTTAAGATGATAATCATTAGTAGAAAACAACTAAAGATGAGTTCAGAAAACTAATTTTTATTACAACCGTTTAGGTCAATGATTGCAAACCAGTGGCCTGTTAAGGCTTTGTATCAGGTCTCGACAATTTTTTTTCTAAAATCTTGTGGGGATTAAAACAGAAAAAAATTCAAACATCTAACCGCTTATGCAAGTCATAAAGGCTGGTATCAAAATAGCCTTCATCAGAGCCTTTTTTTTTAATTGCAATACGTTTTGGTTTACCAAGTAATATCAAATAGGGTACGCATCCGACACATACGTATTTGACCAGTCCTTTGCTACAACTGAGTTCAAGAACCCTGTTTAGGTTACAAACTCAAATGCATTTTATATTTGGTAAAATTGCAGTTCTGAATCAGGAGTTTGGACCGTCCTCCCAATTTAAGATCCCCCCCCATAGGGTATGGAATAGTCTACAGTCCAGACAGAGTCCTTCAGGGCTGCATTTGTACCTTTCATTTTATATACTTTATACACAGTGAGCATTCACATAAAATCACACAGAGTGAATTATATTATTATTAAAATGAATATTCAGATACATTATGATAAAATGCAAGTGCTCACTTCTTAATTACAGTAAAATAAAGGCAAATTATTTAAAAAAATATATTTTAAATGCACGAAAAAGTATAAGAAAGCAGCTCACCATATTTAACCTTCGCTCGAGATCAGGAAGGAAAGGAAAGGACGCCGAATCACAATGGTTAATCCATCCGTCATATAAAGTAGATCTATAATTAATAAAAAGTGACAATAAAATGAAATAAAATAAAGGAAATTTTTGCATTTAAATAATATTTAATATTAAATAATAAAATAATTTACTCGAATAATTTTTAGAAATTTTATAAATAAATTATTGGCATAATTTCGCGCATGGATACGACTGGTGCTCTTTGACGTCATCGCACGCGTGACGTCACAATAAATATTGGACTTTAAATTGAGGAAGGTGAAGTTCAAATATTTCAGGAAAGTTTTCGTAAAATTTATAATTACCTTTACATGTATTTAAATCTTTATTTTTATACAAAAGGAAAAATAATATCAAATAATTAAATTTATTAATCAAGGAAATCTGTTTTACATCATTTGTGTATTACAATATTTGAATAATTTTTCTTGAATTATAAATTTGATAAGGCGTATAAAATATCATATTTTTAATATGTAAGTAATAACCACGCTATAGATTCTATTTTTAGTTATATCAACGGTACTACAGAGCTCTTGGAGCTGGCTATTTTAAAGAGCGAACACGTGATAAAAATGTCAGTAGAAAATCTAATCTTATCTGCTTTAATAAAGAATAGAAACATTTTTAAAGGACAGATATTTATAGACGAGATTATACAGTTAATGTATCAATTGATCTTTATGCAATTTCTGAATCACACTATATTTATTCGGCTCATATACTAATTCGGGAATTCTCTAAATTTTTGAATTTTTATATTTAATTATTACGTCCATCTGGAATTCAGTATCGAATCCGGACGGTGGCCACGGAGAGTTTTCCGCGTTTTCTCCACGTCTCTAACGCCTGAATATGGGTCAGTTATCATTAAAAGACCTCCCTGAAGGAATTGACAAGACAAACAAATTTTGACAAGACTATGTCTTGTCGATATCTATATATATATATATATATAAAGATGGATGTGTGTATCCCTATATTTCACTTTTNTCTTACCCCCATCATATACTTCATTCCCAAACTCGAAAAACATGACGAATAAAAGCTTTTTAAAATGTTAAAAAATATATTCAAATCATTATTATTTTTTCTTTCTTCTGATAATTATATTGCTTTAGATTCTATTTATCGCAATATAAACAAATTACGATAAAAAGCAAAGCAAAAATATATCGAAATTATACAATAAAAATAAATAATGACTTTTAAATATATAAGATTGTTTATGCAAAGTACAAAGCCGATAATATAACCATAAATAATCCAGAAACAGATAAAAGCTGTGGGTTCAAGCCTGTAGGTAGATCTGTAGCATATATGTTTGTATTTTTCCTTGATCTTCGATATGCATCCTAATTCTGTCCTAGAAGAAGAATGGGATGATTGCCGGATATAGCGTATAAACTAAATTAAGTTTTGATCGAATGGGTAATTTTATGTACTTGACTTAATATATTTTATCCGATAAATAACCGAACGATAAATAAATTCATAAATTCAAAATATAAAATCTAAAAAGCCTGGTTTAAAAAATGTTTTTCAAATATTATAGTATTTATAATAAATTTTAATATCAAAATTATTTACTTTAAAATATTAATTATAAAGTGATTTATTACTAAATATATGAGCAAAAATTTTAAATAAATATAATTTTCCTAATTTTAATATCATCAATTTATGCTTTTAAGAAATAAAAAGACATTTGCTCAGGAAAAGAAAAAAAAAACATATACATTATAGTAAATAAAAATTATTATATTTTCTTCTGTGTAGGCCTATATAATAATTCATTATAGTTTTATAAATAAAATTATACCTGAAAATTCGAAATATGTGAACATTATTTATATTATATAACGGATTTTAATGAAAAATACGTGCAGAAGATTAAAGTAGGAAGAATCATAAAGAAATATACCGGCTTACCTGTGCGTTCACCTGAAGTTATGACAAACTTGTCCACTTGTTCCGCAATAAACTCCCGTTGGCCAAATACTTTTTATGATGTCATCGTTAACACGTGTTACTTTTAACAATTCAGATTTGAGATTTCACACAATAAACACTTTTCCTTCTAAACAATTCTTCAAAAAAAAATTATAATAATAATTCCTCACATTTCACATTTTATTTTGTTTGTGCAATTAAAAATAATTTCCATTTCTCTTCTTTTTTTTCCTCTCCTTTTGTGTTCTATTATTCAAGTGCTTAAATTTTCCAATTTTACATTATCCTTTCACTAATTTTCGTGTTGTCGATGATATTTTATCTCCAATATACTTCAAGTTTAATATAACGATAAACGATATCGTGAGATAATTTTTACGGTTTCTCTAAACTGTAATGAAAAAATTAATTGTAATTGTAATTAAAAATCACCATATATAAGTTAAATGTTTAATCAACTAATTAATAAATAATAATATATTTTAAGTTTCTATTTCTAACAATAATTATAAAACGTACAGTACATGCATAATCAAGCTTATACAAATAAACTTTAACATTATAGATTTAAATTAAATTAATAATAATTAACTAATTTAATTGTTTAACTAATTAATTAATAATTTTATAATTAATATTAAATTAAGTTTTAAATCATTTTAAATTATTAAAATATTGGGCATAGACTTGCATTTAAATTTAATTTTTTTTTAATTTAGTGAATTTAAATGGAGTAAAATGATAATTATAATTGTAATTAATACATATTACTTAATATTTAATTTAAATTATAAAAAATAAGATATATTTAATTTTTAAACATTTTTTTTTAAATACAAGTTTATTTTCATGTTTTATAAATCTAAAATTTATTCTCTAACCCGGTAAAAATTTATTATAAAATATCAAATAAAATAATTACATATTATTTCGCAAAATATTTTTTAATACAATATAATTATGAATAGTAGTACAAATTTATCAAAAAATCTATCATTTGAACAATTTAATGACAAGTCTAGAAAGAAATATAATTAAGTTTCCTACAATTTTATGAAATATTATTAATTAATTAGTTATATTGCATTCTTATATTCTATATATAATTTATTTCCTTTTTTTATGAATTTATTATCAGTGTAATGGATATTCACATCTTGAGGATATGATTTTTAAGAAGCCCTAAAGGCTCGAATGGAGTTTTTCCTCTTAAAACTTCCCTGTAGTTTGCTATACTTTTATTAAAGATTTGACCCATTTCTATTAGTTTATATTTAATCTTAGAATTGGTTTAATCCATATACTTATTTAATTTACCAAATTTTTAATCTTATCCATGTTAAAAATCTGTATACTGTCTCATTCAGTTAACAGATGTGCTGAGTTACATAAATTGAATAAATGAAATAAATTCTAAATTTAATTAATATTTAAAGAGGGAAGTGTTGACATACTTGCTGTACTCAGCTGTGTTTAAAGTTCACTTAGTTACTTTCTATTTGATTTTTTATTTCGACACTTAAAATAAGCAAGGAAAGTTTCTTTGTATTTTTTAAGGTAAAATATCCTCATTTTGATTTCTTTAAGACTTTATAAAGCTAAAATATAAAAATAAATGAAGTTTTTCTTGATATTATTTAATAAATAATAAACAGTTTCTAAATATTGACATATTTTGCTACAATTAAAAATTTTAAAGTTAAAATAAATAAAAAAATATATAGGCCTATATATAAATCATGGAATTATTAAATTTATTACAAATAAATTATAAAGTTAAAATTTAAAACCTGACATAAAATATCGTTTATACTCGTGTTTAAACGTAAAAATTTTTATATTTTAATACTTTTTATATAATTTTTACTTTAATAAAAATATTTAGGAAAAATTATGCAAGATGCAGTTTAAAATTGATTTTTCAATGGCAGTTTTTGTGTTTCTGGGTTTCGTCTTATTTCTAAAACATTGACATAGTTAACTAAATTCAAAAGAATACAATTTTTAACTTAATATTAATATTTTAATTAACTTTTTAATTTCTAATATACAGTAAATATATTAAATTAAAGTTCTAATTTTATTAAATATTTCGATTTATTGTACTATTAAATATTTAAATTGATGCCATTATATGTGAATGCAGATTATGCTGAGAATTAGGATAAATTTTTATCATAAAGACTTAAATGAGTCATACACAATAGTTCAAATTTAATGCTATTGTTCTATTAAAATAGAAAAATAAGATGAAGAGGAATGAAGTAAAGAATAAAAAGTAAAATATACAAACAATCTGATGGAGCTGATAAAATATTTTATTAACTTCAGACCATTTCTATGCACACTAGACTAAAACGAATATATTGAATATTATGTGGGATATGTCAAGAAAAAGAAAAGTATTGTGAAATCTTAAATCTTATGCAAATCTTAATGCTTTGGCGACCTTACACAAATACTAAGAAAATTGTAAGTACACTTCTAAACTTCAACGTGTCACATACAAATACTCTAAACCTGTACAAGAAGAATAATAGTGATTCAGTTGATATTTTTAAGCATTATTCATAAAAGTATTCATTCAAATTCATAAGTGATAATTTTATTGATGTCAAATTCAATAATGTTTTTGTATTATTATTCTTTCTGTATTGTGATCGCTAAGAAGGCCCTTTTCATCGTGGATTCGAAAGGCACACAATGGGAGTTGACGGGTGATAAGGGACGGAGCCCGACATATCCAGTATAGACTATCTCCCAAAAAAATTCCTGCGATTTTTCGATCGCTCGGATTAGCCTTAGAAATCAGACAGTCATGTCAATAAATTTAAATGTTTATAATAAAATAGCAACAAATTTATTGCTATTTTCATTATCATTTTATTCTTGATACTTACCAACAAAGTGGCCATCATGATTTATATATACAGTAGAGCGTCGATTTTCCGAATCAATTGGGGACTGGGGTTGTTCGTATAACTGATATTTCGGATAACTGATTTACGTACGAAAAAATAGTTTAACGTATCCGATGTTATATATATATATATAATTATAACGACTACCGCCATCTACTTTCAAAAACGTTTCGATGGTGAAACAA